CTCAGCGCTTAACCAACATATTCAAGACTTTTGTCTTAAATATTTTTTATTTTATTTTCTCTGGTGAGTAATATATTTACTCGTTTGAACTATTGTTCATTTCAACTACTCACGTGGTCCCACGTGCAGTAGTTGAAATGAACAATAGTTCAAATGAGCCATAGTTCAAACGGCAGTAGTTCAAATGAAATAGCACCAGTTTACTGTTTAATTTTTCTTTATTTTTCGTCGTCGTTATTTAATAATTTAAAGAACCGATTCTGAAAATGTACCCACCCAAATCCATGATTTTGCACTCAAACTCAGTAATTATACATCGTGGAAACGTTTCATATGTCTCAAATGAATCCTAAAGAATTTGTCCACAACACTGCATACTCAGTTTAACTACCTTACATAGCCGGTCTGTCCCTTTAAGTCGAGTTTACAGTCTCATTCTTTGTGAGCAACCAGCTGTATGTTTAATTCTAGGCTGAAAAATATTCTGACTGTAGTGGTTTTTTTTGGAATCTGGAAAATATTCATTTTAGGATAGTTACGGATACAGTTAACCCTTACATCGCTTTTTAGACTTTGCATGGTCATTGGTCATATTTAAAACTAAAGTGGCTGACTGCGTATCATATTTAAAACTAAAGGGACTGTACGCGTAGTTTCAACTGACCCTCCATGCAAAGTTGGCAAGGCCCAATTCACAACGATACCCTGAAAAACTTTATCTTATCAAATAGTAATTAGATCTTAATTTTGTTGTAATTTTGAAAACTTGTTATTTTCAATTGTGGGTTCTTTACAAAAAGTGACTTGCACATTTCAACTGCAGGGAAACTTTAATGAATTATCAGAATTGAATACTTTTAAGCCTGGAAAACCGACAAATTCCACATTATTGATCATATAAACTGGTTTCAAATGTATCGTCTTATAGTCGGGTATGGCCTTCTTGAAATTACTCTTGCATTTTCTTTAAGATTATTTCTTTATGTGATATTGAATTAATGATTATAGTATAAAAGACAAAATGGTTTTCAGACTCTTTGCACCAAAGTGAATCGCTTCGATAGCGAACTTGAAACTAGGACGCGCGACAGTCAACCTTTAAGCCAGGGGTTTAGAAGCAAAAAAGTAACGAAACAAGGACATATTTCATTTCGATTTACTTTTCCAACTGCTCCTAATTTGGTAATTAATGGTTGTATTCAAAAGTGGATTAAAGGGGGGGGGGGCGTCACCCTACCTGGACAAATTATTCTTGCCCCTTTATTTGATTTTAAAATTAGATTTTTTAATCCTTTGATATATTCCCCCCCCCCATATCCAAGTAAATATCTTAGTATTATGAATTATCTTATTCCTCTTATATTCTATAGTATCCAACTATATTCCTGCAGTAGTTCGGGATGTTCATACAACTAAAAATAAAAAAGGGGGTGTTCAGCTCAGGTTAATTAACATAAATACTTCTTGGTTAATATGGCTTGTCTCTTTAACCTTGGACTTCAGGAGTCTTCTTCGCTGTAAAGTTAAACAGTAAACAAGCGGCCTTTATCTAGAAACAACACTCACGGTCAAAGCACACCCCACTTGACCGGCGTTGCCCGGGCACATTCATCTCTACATAGTTTGTGCACTGTCCAGTTGTGCGGTTAATGCCTCTCATATGTCTTAACTGAATAGTGACCAGCGACATCACTGAAACCTTCTAATCTTTTGAAGTAGTTAGCGGACTGACTCTTCAGCGCAGATACAGTTGTACAGTATGTACGAGTATTCACTGATACAGACTACAGATGCGGCAAAACAGTATATAACACCAAATTATCTATAGGGGGCGAATGTAGTATAAAAATCAACTTATATATTTGATAATTTGCAAAAAGACGACAAACCTTTTCCCTATTTCTCTACTTTCTAGGCTACAAGAGGATGACAATGTGGACTCCTTGGACTTGAAGCTGGACAAGTATGAGAGCGCGGATAGAATACTTCACTCAAAGAAGAACTCATACAAGGTCTTGTACGGAGAGAACAAAGATGAAACTTCAGACACTGTGTTGAATCTAAATAGCCTTCTTTTTTAAATTCATAGTTCCCAACCGATGTAAACTTTTTTTTAGCCAAATCATTGAAAATGTCATTTATATTTATCTACTTTTTTAATCTACAGAGGTTTGGTCCATCACCATCACCGAATTTTAAATGAAAGAAACCCCTTGGATTGTTATATTGAAAGAGTTACAGGTCTTAATTGCAGTCTCATGTCGGTTACCCTGTAATTTAAAAATAGAACTACAAAACTTAAAAATCATAATTTAGTATCCAGAGGAAATTGAAGTTTAGGAATGCAAGAAAATTGAATACAAGGAAATCAATGCTTAGGAATACAAGGAAATCAATGTTAAGGAACACAAGGAAATCAATGTTTAGGAATATAAAGAAATCAATGTTTAGGAATACAAGGAAATCAATGAGGAGTATAATGATGAAGTGTTCATATCTGATGATGAACAGAAGAATAAAGATCTGAATGAAGTGTTAACGAAGACCGAGGAAGAATTCGTGAACATTCCTTTACATCAAAATTTCCCCGATAGTGGAATAATTAATAATTTAGTGGCAGTCAATGCACCAAAGGTAATTTGTTTAATATTGTGTTACACACTTGAAGATACGAATCATTGCAAAATATTAACATTTTACATTTGAAAACATCACAAAAAACAATTGTATGCAAAAATTAAGTTTTAAAACTAAAATTTCAACATAATACAATTGGGAACCCCATGCAATTAACAAACTTGTTCTTCAGTCCAAAAACGAAATAAAATTAAAGTTTTAACTGCCTCATACCTCCACTAATGAAAATTTAACCATAACAATATCTGGCGAATCTCGATTAGCGGAAATTAATAACACTTCTATAAGGCAAAGTATGCACGAAAACGAGCAGATAACCTTGTCTTGGAGGATGGGGAAGGTATTGATCAGCTTATAGAAGGACCAGGACAGGTTAACTATATTCAAGACTTTTGTCTTAAATATTTTTTATTTTATTTTCTCTGGTTCTGTTTTTAAGGATAAAGCAAACCTACAGTATTGTGAACCCAGCCAAGGTTTCCCCTATGTGTATATAGCATTGTATAAGTTCATTGCTCCCAGTTGGAGAAATAATGCCTAACAAATGCAATCCAAGAATAAAGCCAAACAATCCAGATTCAGTCCAAAATGGTATTGAACCCCGAGTATGTTTGCAGCCTAAAATACGTAACAGACTAGGCCGACAAGGTTATTAAACCCCCTTTCTCATCTGGAGATATTAAATTGGTCCCGTTTAAAGTGAAGCTAGGGTACGGTAGATGCTGGAGAAAGGAGTGAAACGGCATTTATCCTTCCGGCAAAGAAAGCAGTATCGTCGGTCATCTTATCCCTGGGATCCCCCAAGACTTGGCAGTTAGCACGAAGCATCTGATTAGAAGAGTCAAATGGAAATATATTCGCCCCAGGCGAAAGTCATGTGTATTTAGATCAACGTTAGTTGGTCCAATACTAACTGTATCATTATAATGTAAATATAGTTTGTGTGCAACCATGCTTTGTTATTCCACTCAATCTTGGCTTTTTAACACTAAATTCTTTTCAAGTCTATATTATATTACACATAAGTCCAAGCTTATTTATTATCAAATTCCGTTGATATTCTGTGTCCCTATTAGCGCATTATTTTATAAAGATATTGGATAATTGATCAATTTTAGTTGAAAAAAATCTTGACTTTAAACAAAAAAAAAAATTTTATTGTGTTCTAGTAAATTTCACATATACAGGGTGTCCCAATAAACATGGGAATTAAATGACAACTTCTATTTCGTCTTTGTTCCAAGCGGGATTATTTCGTGAATATTATTCTGTATCACGTTAAAACATTTAACATCGAAAACTACTTGTCTCGGGATATCCAAAATGTCGTCTACCTTTTTTTCACTTTCAAAATTGACGGAGAAATCAGAAAATTTGTCCAGATTCCAGTTAATTAAAAATTAACAAAACTGTTCAAATGTTTAATATCTCCGTCAATTTAAAAGATACAAAGAAGGTAGACCACATTTTGCTCATTAGACGTTCAATCTTTTTTTAATGCACTTTATGTCATTTATCTATTTTCGGAAATCAAAGACGATATTCAAGTCATCTCTCAATTCCTATGGTTGTTAGGGAAACTGAGAGCAGAAACCTTTGACCGCTTGGAATGATACAAGACAGCTTCATTTTCCCCTGGTTTGCATAACGTTTTGCGGCTTTAATCACTAGATAATTTCAAGGCGATATTTTACAAATTCTCCCGTTGTTCTCTTTAATATGGGGTTTACTGTATCTCACCCTAAGTGAACATTTTGAAAAATACCCTTTTAGAAATAGAACTAGATTTAAATAAATAATTTTGCAATTAACGGAACATACTTACAGTCACAGGGAACCAATAATGTAAGAAAAAAAACTTAATAAAGTCTCTGAAGTCTCAAAAAAATTACTACTTCAGAAGCTGGGACATGATGAAGTAAGTTTACTAAAGAATACAAATGAAACAGATTCAGCATTGAGAAATCAGAAGGCAGGGAGACAGAAGATTAACCAGGTAATTTTACTAATTTAGTTCTTACAGGGTAATTATTTTCGAAAGCTGTACTTTCTTAATCATTTGAGGCTATAGAGTGTCCCACGGAACATGACATTTGATAGACGCCTTGATGGTCGTCTTTAATATTAAATACATCTCCGGTAATATGGACAGCACTAAAAAAGGCAGACTACACTTTGTACTAGCGTTATTTTGTATTTATTGTTGCTAGCAAAAAAGTAGGTAGACAAATAAATGCCACAAATTATTTCAAATATCAAAGACGACCTTCTAGTCGTCTCTCAACTGTATTGTTTCGTGGGACACCTTTTATTATCTTATTTTCAACTGTGGTTTCTCTTTTTAGCAGTCATTTTATGTATTTTTGCAATCGTGGAACATATTTGAACAATAGTTATTCTTTGTGAGGAAACAATTAATCCAGGATAAAAAGGCCAGCTAGTGTAAAAGACATCTTTATTTGCCTTTCAAAATAATCATATTTAAACATGATAAATATTTAATGATAAAAATTCTTAAAGGGGTTGTAAACGTAATCTCAGTTGAGCCTCCGTCCAAAGTTGGCAATGGCCGATTCACAACGGTACCCTTGAAACCCTGATCTGATCAAAAATGTGGAAGACACCGTTGTTTTTCTGACTAAAAAAGTGTTTATTTCTGTGAGTTTTCTATTGCTTCATACAAGCAAGAATTGCGCAAGTCACTTTCGCAGAGAAACCGCAAATGAAAAAAAAAACAATTTAAACAAACAAAAAACATTGATATCTAATTCTTAGATTTTCGGATCAAACAAAGCGTTCAAGTTGTAAATCGGGCATTGCCATCTTTGCATAGATTCACTTGAAATTTCGTTTACCTTTAAACCCTTTGTTAAGGTTGTGGAGAAATCAGTTCTAGAAATGAAAGCCGAACTTGCAAATTTTGTAAGAAAAGCGAAAATAGATGAAATTGGATAAATTTAGAAAAAGTAAGATTTTTAAACCAAATTACCGCCCACGTAACATGATAAAAGAAAGTGTTTTTGAGAAGAATATTAAAAATGTAATGTAAAAAAAACGTTAGAATTTTGGAAGTACTGTGTATCCTACTAAGCTTTGAAATTTATTGATAAAATGAATAGGATAGGTCGTCTTCTCTAGAATAGATTGGTTTATCATGAAAACCTCGAATTTATATTTACAACCTTTCCGCTAGTTGAAATTTGTCTTTAACTTTACCCAGATTCTTCTTATAACGTACATTTTGACAAGTAATGTTACTCTAGCTTTAATGAATATTGAATATAGCATAACAACTCTTATTAGAAATGGCTAAAGCAAAACTGACTTTTATATAACTCACGACATAAAAGACTCAAAGATAATGACTCGCGCGACGGTAAATTACTCTTGGAAAATCGAAAATCCCTTTATAATTATCTTTCCAACACATGTTACTTACGCTAAGACCCAAAAACTGTTGAAAAAGAAGACGATATTCACAGCACTCTTATGTGTATTGGATGTTGACCAAAGTAGTTCAAAAGTCAATTTGTTCAACGGAATAAGCCTGTTTTTCACTGTAACAATGTTTCTCGTCTTCCTACTCAACAGTTTTATAGATATCACTGTACAGCATAGCTTTTAGAGTATATTTTTTATGTAGAGAGAGTCGAGATAATATAATAAGAAGGGACGGAGCGTCAAAAGTTTCTAGTTTTAAAACAAATCTCTGTTAAGGGAAGCAAAGAGCTGAAAGAAAGAAAAAAGACAGCAAAGAATAAAGGTTTTTAACCTTCTTTATCGTGAGAAGAAGAAATTTAAAACATTTTAAAAAACAATACCAAATTTAAAAGTGTGTTAGATTTTTTGGATTTTTTTTTCATTTTTGAGAGTTTTGCTATTTGATGATCTCATCTATATTTTCCCCTTAGTTACGTTAACATAGAATAGCGTGACTAACTAAGGTACAACTATGTGATATGTAAATTCTATGTGATTGAAAATGTGTCAACTGAAAAATTTTTCGTTGCTCTTTTTATAGATAACTGAGACTATTTGGTCTTGACAGTAAGACCCATAAAACTGTAAAATAGGAAGACGACATCTTAACAATTTTTGTGTATTTGATGTAGTTTTTAAGCAAATGGTTTTACCACTAGCATGCAAATTAACTTGTTAAAATAAATGGGTCTGTAAAGAACAAATCCATTGTTTCATGTTTATTGGACTATTTAACATCATATCTTGAGTCTAACAGTCGTATTCGTATTCCACAGCTCTAACGGTAAAACAATGTAAAATTAATTTTAAAGATGTATATTTACGCGGCTGACGCAATAAAAGTAATTTTACGATAATAACTTGGAAACAATTTTGATTAGGATTGATTCTGTTCTAGACCGTAGATAGAAATCTTGTAATCTGTTCTCTATACCTCCTGTTCTCTCAACATCTTGTAATCTGTTCTCCATACCTCCTGTTCTCTCAACATCTTGTAATCTGTTTTCCATACCTCCTGTTCTCTCAACATCTTGTAATCTGTTCGCTAAACCTCCTGTTCTCTCAACGGGATCAGTGTTCTGCAAACAAGGAGTTTATAATAAGAAATTAGCTTTAAAATTTAACTCCTTGATATTGGTTTCTCGCACACAAAGGTCCATGGCTTCTTTGTTGCATCAATTTTTAAGACAGGGTCGATTGTAATGTGTCGCTTTGGACCTTGATTTTACCTTTTTTTTCTTGATTATAAATTTTGGTAGCTCTATACTCTAGAGCTTTCAGTTAAAAAGCTATATTGCGATTATTTTCTTCTTGACTCACTTGTTTCAAGTTTAAACCTCAATGGAAAATAATCAATCTTTAAGTTGGAATATGACAGGCTAAAAATTTACATGTTGAAATTTTTAAGAAGTATAAAAACTTGCTTATATTTTCAGTTAATAATATTAAATAACCCCATTTTCCTGGTTTAAGGTTGAGTCGAATTCTGATTCCTCCAAAGGATCCCAGCCCTCCACACAGGCCTCACAGTTGCACGTAAAGTGAAAATTTTTCTAAAATTTTGACAAAAATTTTCTTTACAATTGATGCGTATAATGGTTTCTAATACAACATGGAAAGTTAATGAAAACATTATCAGTTTAATCGTTTTCGATCTTTCATAATTAAACTTACAGTAAGAATAAGAAAACTCTGGAATATGAAGACGACATCTAAGCAAAAATAAAATGTTTTAGAAATTGTTAGAAAGCAAACACTTTTACATTCAGTCTTAGATGTCGTCCCTCTATTCCATAGATTTCTGGTTCTCACTGTAGTTTAATATGAGGAATTTTAATAAGTTCAATTTCATTAGAACAGTTTTACTCAGATCTCGATTAGTTTCAAATATTTCAAACAGTCGGACCACATTAATCAAATCCCATTATTAGTTGGATATTTTATGACTACTAGTGCAGATCAGATTTATATTTAAATGCCATGTAGGTTGGAAAGAGGATGTCACTTTTATCCCACGCTTTTTGAGATCAAGAATTGGGCTCAAACTATAAAATCTATCAATTAAAAGCAAAATTGTTTAATTTTTAAATATGCAACACTTTTATACACTTGTGGCCATAAATTAGTCGGCAATGAGAGAGGATTTATATACATGATAAAGTTTCCATGTTTACTTTATTACTAAGAGTGCTTTCAATCTTATTTTTTCAAACTTAAATTCACCATTTTCTGACAAGATGACCTTTGGTCTAATGAAAAAATGTTATATTTATTGATTTATTATTATTTTATCGAAACTGTCCATCTCGCAATCAGGACTTCTATAGTGAAGATCACAATCCCTGTAAGTGTTAATGAACACCTATAAATAAAGTTTAAAGTTACTCAGCTATCAGATAAATCTGCCAAAGTGTCCAATTAGCTAATCTAAGTTTAAAACAAGTTTAAAACAAGAATTACTTTCATTTTTAGTTTATTTATCCATAGATTAATAACAGCGCAGATAGAACACTAGATGTTGTCTTTTCAAGATTTAGAGGTTTTTCATTCACAATAACACTGATGCAGAAGCCCAAAGTAGTTAGAACAGGCTCAATTTCTGTCTTGTAATTCATGCGCGAAACTCCTGAGGGCTTCTGCCTCAGGGTTATTGTAAGCGAAAAACCCCCTAAATTTTAAAAAGACGACATCCAATGTTCTATCTGTATTGTTATTAATCTATGATTTATCTATAAACCTGTAAATATTCCTGTCTGGTGACCGTATCATATTCCGTCCAGTGTACAGTGTACATGTCCGTCAACTCAGCCCCTGAAATCAGCTGATTGTTTGGTTTGAATCGAGTCTTCTGCATACAGATTTACAGATTTTAGTCTAATGTTTTTCTTACACTCCAGGTTCATACACACTACACAGCTTTATTTAGAATTCATAGTTTGCCACATTTGATACACAGATAAAATAATATACATTGTGTTTTATGCAAGGACCAACTTCAACCTTTAAATCGTTTAAAGAATCTTAGGTTTTCACAATAGTCTTGTTCTTTGTGGGTAATATTGTACAATGGGTTAATCTGAATCTTAAAGGAATAGGCTGCTGAGATTAATCTATAAAGTTTAAAAATTAAGCTTTAAGATCAGAATATATGTTTAGGTGGTCATTAAAGTCTTATTTCGTTTTGTAGATAATCGTGTATTGTACGCGCGCCTAGCATAATTTCAAGTCTTCAAACTTATGATTAAAAAATGTTGGTTTGGATAGAAAGTGACATTTTGTCAATTATGACTAAATCTTTACCTTTTTCAATATCCCTGGCTGCTACAACAATAATTGATGATCCAGCGCTCACCCTCACAAGATTAGGATTACAAGAATGGTTCAAGCTTGCAGCTAGACATGGATATACAGCAGCTGCTATGGTTTCCTAGGATTACAATGGTTCAAGCTCCCGCTAGTCATGGCTATACAGCAGCTGCTATGGTTTCCTAGGATTACGATGGTTAAAGCTGTCGCTAGACATGTATATAAAGCAGATATTAGACACGGTTACAACAGCTTCTAGACAAGTACATTCAGGAGCTACAAGACGAGAATAAAAAGCCGCTATTATAGACAAGTGTATTCGGCCACCCTTCTCCTCATCGATCTCATTCCTTCCCCTCCCCCCCCCCAAAAAAAAAAACAGCCTGCTGCGTTCACCTGTTCTTCTTCTTGGTGAACAGGATGTGTGTTCACATTCACAATACGAACTAGATCTTCAATCAGGTTTCCTGCAATAGTGCATTTTTATAAATTCAAGTTATTCAAAACTTACTTGCGCAACAATTATTAGTAATCAATCGTTAAATATGTTGTATTGTTAATTATAGTAATTATTACATCAGAAGATTTGGTGAAAATGGGAATAATAAGGATTCTTTTTGGTGTCAATTTAAAAAAAAGACAGTCAACAACTGTTAAATAAACTTTATAATGAATTAGGTGAATAAAAACATCATTTGATTTATAGTTATAACGGAAAATCATCGTTTGTAAAGTGGAAGGCATAGAGTCTATGTGAAATGATCATTGGTCAATTATGAAACCAGCCTATTTCATAATTTGGTTTTCTTTTAACAATGATTTTAGATTTTCTATAAAATGATATTCCAGGGCCCAACAGGTTATATAGCATAAATATGTGAAGTACACCTGCAGTATGGAAACAGTACAACAAAATGGCCGTTTTACACTTTTTTCCATTAAATTCCTGTCTATATATTCTATTCTCTATGCCAAATTGTCAGGTTATCAAATTGTCAAAATACCAAATTGTCAGGTTACCATATTGTTGGTTACCAAATTTTCTGGTTACCAAATTGTCAAGTTACCAAATTGTTGGTTACCAAATTGTTAGTTACCAAACTGTTGAGTTACCAAATTGTTAAGTTACCAAATTATTAGTTACCAAATTGTTATTTACCAAAATGTTGGTTACCAAATTATTAGTTACCAAAAATCCGCCCATCTAAAACTGTAACCCCCTCTCTTCCAGTTAGTTTCTATGAATTTTGCAATTCTTTATTGACTAACGCGCATTCAGAACTCACAGTTAAAATCAGAAATGCATTTCTCGTGCAGTTCTCAGGGTTCGCACTCTCTTTACCATCAGTTCAACCCTTTACCTATCAATATTTCATCCGAAGAGAAAGTTTCATCAATTGATTCATCCGAACTATTAGATCCGAAGTAACCAGACATTCGAAGCATTCTAGGTTAGTTCGTATCAATGGAAGTAGAACTAAGGAGATAGATAAGTTTATGTTAAAATTTCCAGTGTATTAGAACTGCTTAAAGGAAGTGACCGGAGAAATTTTTTAAGATTCATTTAGGACATTTAAAAAACGTTTTAATGATGTACAATTACTAAGTTTGAGCGCACAGTCGACGTTCAAACTCATCCATTTGGGTGTTAACGTTTTGAGAATCGATTTTTCTTTTAATTATTTAATAGAAACGACAAATAATATAAAAAAAATCTACAGTACACTAATTAAATGTTTAGGAACATATTTCTCGATTGAAATTTGCACAATAAATCAATGTTAGAATAATTTATTTTTTATCATTATAGAATTTCTCATTCTTTATGAATTTGTTCGTAGATTTCTTCTAATTCTTTAAATCTACAGAAAATGTTTGTGAACAATGAGACATTACAGAAACCAATAATAGAATAAGATTACTTATTTTCGGTGATGTAGTTAGTTTAAATTTTCTCAACCTGTTACTAAACAACTAATATGTTTACTGTAGAAATTTTCACTTCATTTTTAGTCATCGTTATTGAATAATTTTTGTTTACCCGATTCTAAAAGTCAGCTCTCAAAAATGAACAATCTATGAGGATTTTAAAGATTGAATTTGCACTTTTGCTGAACAAATATGCACCGTAAAAGCGTCTAATAGGTTTCAAATGATTCCTAAAAAATACTACATTCTTAGTTCAACTACCATACATTGCCGGTCATTTCCCTTTAAGAACTAAATATATTGTAAAAAATACTTTGTATTCCTACTATATCTAACTCTACCTAAGCATGATGACCGCTACTATATCCAACTCTATCTAAGCATGATGACCGCTACTATATCCAACTCTACCTAAGCATGATGACCGCTACTATATCTAACTCTACCTAAGCATGATGACCGCTACTATATCCAACTCTATCTAAGCATGAAGACCGCTACTATCCAAATCTACCTAAGCATGATGACCGCTACTATATCTAACTCTACCTAAGCATGATGACCGCTACTATATCCAACTCTATCTAAGCATGAAGACCGCTACTATCCAACTCTACCTAAGCATGATGACCGCTACTATATCTAACTCTACCTAAGCATGATGACCGCTACTATATCCAACTCTACCTAAGCATGATGACCGCTACTATATACAACTCTACCTAAGCATGATGACAGCTACTATATCTAACTCTACCTAAGCATGATGACTGCTACTATATCCAACTCTACCTAAGCATGATGACCGCTACTATATCCAACTCAATCTGCTGATCAATGGAATTGATCTGATGTCTGACAAGGTTGAAGAGGGAAGAGTAAGAGCTTGAGATTTCATCATTCTGTAAATATATCTATATAATAAAGCTCTTCGCTTATATATATTTATTTGTATGTACGTATATATTTATATAAATACATATTATGGGGGTAACATAGGCAAACAAAACTTTTTATTTTTCTTCTTTAAAATTAGATTTTTTAAAAATTCTATGGGCCGAATTTAAAGAGTTTGAGGTTCGGCTCAAATATGGTTGGATTCACTTAAAATTGTATTCAATTTTCATGATTTAAGCCAGCGCTCAATAGAAACCTGTTTTTTGGGGATTTGAGACGCGGCTTAAATTCTTTAAATTCGGACACTATTTACCTTATTTGAACCTCGAGATGGTTTATATTCAAGAAACTGGTCATAGTTTAACCTTCATTATAAACTATAAAAATGAAGTTATATTTGAACTACGAGATGATCCAACATTACCCCTAAGGGATGACGATGGACGACCTAAATGACTATCTGTAGACTGGATTATTTTCTTCCTTAAAAAATGCTAAACCAAATGGTTTTGAAAGGAAAGAATTGCGGGGAATCAATATGAGAAAGAAGACTGAATAGATTCTGTACAGTCTGTTTTGAAATCATTCTTTGAAGTAACCTTGTATTTGTACACTACAGTTCATACAGTGTCGGCCATATCTCATACCAAATATGAAGACATTGTAAGTATAATGAACATATCGAGAAATGATAAAAAAGCATTCAGGGTCTGAAGTTCTGAATTAAATAAGTAAAATATTGTAAAATTGGTCTCTTCTCTTAAATAAAAAGTTCTGAGGTTAAAATTCCTGAATAAAGCAGTTTATCGTGTCTTTTGTCGCCCTGGGAATTGAATTATGTTCTCTCAAAGGGACTGTACTTGCAATTACGGAGAATTGAATTATGTCCTTTCAAAGGACTGTACTTGCAATTACGGATGACCTTCATGTGCATGGCCGATTTACAGCCATTCCCTTCAAACCTTTCTCTGATCAAAAATCTGGAAGATATCGTCGTTTAATTCTGATAATTTGTCCATTGTTCTATAGTAGAAATTAGCATTTCAGCTTTTAGTGAATCGGACATACCACTCTATGAATGAAGGGTCACTTCTTATTAGACCCTTAAACCAATTGTAGTTGATGGATCAAATCTCTTAAGTTTAAAAGTTCCCACATTGGATATCGAGATCAAGCTTTGGCAAGGTTCTTAAATAAGTTAGGCTACTCTGGATGCACTCCAATGAACGAAAAATGTCGCCTCTTGTCTAGATAGATAGAAACCGCATATAACGTTACACTCGCTTCTATAATCAGTGACGTCATATGGGGATTATATCCATATTTTATTATCAGACGACATTTTTCATACATTGGAGCGCATCCAGAGCAACCAACTTTATTTAAGAACCTTAAGCTTTGAAGATTAGAGCTATCTTACACATTTAAAGTGTAGACCTCTGATTAAATTATTTAATAGTTTTCCTGAAGAACTGAAGAGGTTTCTGAGTAATTATTCTAAAGACAAGAAAAAGTTTTCCAAGAGATTTTGCTTCTTCTTTCAGCACGCTGGTCAACTGTATCCTACACTCATACCTGAACACAACATGCTGGTCAACTGTATCCTACACTCATACCTGAACAAACAGCACGCTGGTCAACTGTATCCTACACTCATACCTGAACAAACTTTGCAGGATTTTCTTCTTCCTCTGAATCTTTTTAATTCGTTATGATATGTGCTGAATTGATGATAAACTTTAATGACTAATGTAAATTGCACTTAATGGTAAAAATAATTTTTCTTTCGAACCTAAAGAAAAGATTTAAAATCAATTCAAATCCTTGTTTAAAGTAGTGTACCCGAAAACAATAGAAACTATTTATATATTCTATCTTTTGAAAATACAAATTATAAAAATCAAGTTTGAAAAAAATAAGGTCAACTGTTGTATCTGAAATCTGTTCATAACGGTTCTCCTTAGCTCCTGTGGGTTTAATTAAAATCCTCTGACATGGCTAACAGCCCCTGCTTTTAAGAATAATTTCTAAATTATCTCTAAACAATCTACTTCCGATTATCCCAGGAATTGAACGTTAATCCTTCATTAAAAGAATGTGTGGTGTGGATATCGATTTAAGTTGATTTGGCTCAGCGCTTAACCAACCATAAGTTTACGCCTCTGAATGTTTACCTATGATGAGAGTTAAGAGCTCGTTGTTTACATTTACCAGAGCACCAACTAACATCCTCACATTTTGTACATGATTCAGCTGACTGTACTGCAGGTTCACAAGATTCAGCTAACTGTACTGCAGGTTCACAAGATTTAGATAACTGCACTGCGGGTTCACAAGATTCAGCTAACTGTACTGCAGGTTCACATGATTCAGCTAACTGTACTGCGGGTTCAAGTAACTTACAACAGTAATTACAAAACCTCTTACTTTCACTGAAAACAAAATAAAAATAATAAAGGGATTTTTAACGAATTTAAAGGGTGATTTTACCATAACCGATCTTAATATTTATCTGATACCACTCTCTCTCGATCCATTAAAACCCACTATTTCTTCGGTCAGTGTACTGTAAATCACTGCAGTACACACCGAAAGCTTAGATGAGGGTGATACATAAAGGAACTGAGTTTTTGTCACAAACTCTACTTTTCTAATCTCTTTATCTTTGCTACCCAATGTCGTAGACCTATGATATATCAAACTATGAATTCTGTTAGACCAAATGATTTAAGTTTGAAATATCTAAGGTTTATATCATCGATTATAAAGATATAGGGATTAGACAAAAAGAGTTTGTGACAATAACTCAATTCCTTTAAACGATTTATTTTATTTGCATTAATTAACACTCCCTTTATAATCTCTTATTTAGAATTATACTTGAAACTATTTAGTCCTAGAATATATATGATTTACCTAATAATTGGGAAAATTGCAATAGGATCTTCGATGGCAATTATCTCTCCTCTTTTTATCGCTTCCTTGGCGACCTGAATATTTTTTAAACAAACTTTGATGTCAATTTTAAGGAAAAACAAAAGAAACTACCAAACAAGTTCAAATAACACTTTGTTTTCAACTTTTTACCATAAAGACACAGTTTTTTCAAGTTTACCTGAAAGCGTCCACTGTCCTCTAAATATTGGATTTCAAGTTTACCTGGAAGCGTCCTCTGTTCTCTAAATACTGGATTTCAAGTTTACCTGGAAGCGTCCTCTGTTCGCTAAATACTGGATTTAAAGTTTACCTGGAAGCATCCTCTGTCCCTTCAATACTAGACTTAAAGTTTACCTGGAAGCGTCCTATGTCCTCTGAATATTGGGTTTCAAGTTACCTTAAAGCGTCCTCTGTCTTCTCAATACTGGACTTAATAAAGTTTACATGGAAGCATCCTCTGTCCTCTAAATACTGGATTTCAAGTTTACCTAGATGCGTCCTCTGTCCTCTAAATAATGGATTTCAAGCTTACCTAGATGCGTCCTCTGTCCTCTAAGTGCTGGATTTCAAGTTTACCTGGATGCGTACTCTGTCCTCTGAATACTGAATTTCAAGCTTACCTGAAAGCGTCCTCTGTCCTCTAAATACTGGATTTCAAGTTTACCTGAAAGCGTCCTTTATCCTCTAAATACTGGATTTCAAGTTTACGAGACAGGACAGAGACATTCTCTCCGGGAGTAAACCCTAACTGCTCTGCTAGAACGGTTCTTGTAAATATCGATGATTCTTCCTAGAGATAAACAAAATATAAATAAGAAACCCCGTCAATAATTTAGGAGTTTTAAGTTAGAATTTATTTAAAATAAAAATTGGCTAAAGCTACAAATACTTTGACCAAAAAAACTTGATTAAGAATTTCGAACCAATTAAGAAAAATGTTTCAAATCCTTGGGAAGGGGATGAGCTACATCTTAAACTTTTTCATTTCAACAAGATAAATTTTCAAACATTAATGTCAAAGAATCCATAAAAGAATGCCACAAACTTAAATTTGTTATCTTTGCAACCTGACAGTAAAAACCTTTGACATTTCAAACTTATACAGTTTGATTTAACGGTATTTATAGTTTTAAACATCAAAGGTCTACGATATTGGGATACAAAAATATAGGGATTAGGGAATAAAATTAGAGTTTGTGGCAAGAGCTCAAGCTCCTTCACAGGCTTAACTGTTTTTCTTATTAAAAATTAGGAATTTGTCAACATTATTATGCATATGATTTTTTCTCAAGATCTATTTACCTCATTTTCTGGATTTTCTTGACTGCATTTTTCCTCATCATGTACAGTATGTACCGTACCGTTATCTAGATTCTTGAAGAGACAGGACGTAATGTCTCGAGGAATTAAGGATTGAACAGTATTCAAACGTTCTTCACTAGTTCGGATGCATTTAGATTAATAATTTTACGTTTTTATGATTTCTTGATAAATATATATTTTTTCTCGTAAAATACTGAGAATCCTTTAAAGAAAGCAACTTTATACGATTATGTGAAGCAGACTTCTTTTTCCTTACTTGCGAGCTTGGCGTGTCCGATTAAAAACGAAACTCCTAAAACCTTTATCTGATCAAGGATGAGTGAGCTATATTATTTTCAGAAAAATGCGGGTCTCTAAAAAGTGATCTGCTTCAGAAATAGGAAATATCTAGAATTTAACACTTCCCTTGGTAGAAAAACTAAGATATCTTTCACATTATTGATTACTTTCACATTATTGATTAAATAAAGGTTTAAAGGGGACAGTTCTCAATCCTGCATGTCCCTCTTTAAATTTAGGGTCACATAAAATTGCAAAGACAGTCCCTTTAAACTAAAATACTTTTTTAATCCATTATAATCTGAATGCAATCCTTCCTAGTCTTTAAATCCTTGATAGCGTCAGCTTTTATAAACGTTTTTGAAGAAAACACTGCTGTAGAAAACCCTCCCATATTTCTGCAGGATTAAAAACATGTTTTATCTTTTTTTAATCGTTAATTTTACCCCAAACCGTTCAGATCTGCCAGCTTCCTCTCGCTCAAAAACTTACCACAAAAAATTGCCATGCAGTAAAAATATAATTCTTTAAAAGACAATAATTTTTATATTCTGCCACAGTGGTTTGAATATATAATGTTCACGAAACCTCTTCAAGACTCATACCAATGTGATACGTAGAAATTATTGTTTTATTTTCACATATTCTTATTGAGAACAGATGAATAAAAAAATTTAGTTTCTACTATCAAATTGTAGTGAATATCTCGTATGCCAGGCCATAGATCGAGTATCGATTAAACTAGAAATGATAAAATGAATAGTATTATAATCAATTGTATTAATCATGTATGATTAATTTGAGGTTCTATAAATCAAAGATTGGAGACTTTGCCACAAACTCAAATTTTCTAATTCCCCGATCTTCGCAACCTGATGATGTTAACTTTGGATATTTCAAACTTAGACTATTTGATCTTACATAATTTATAGTACGAAATATCAAATCACTTTATTTCCTAGTAAATATATTAGACACAGTTTGTAAAACTGGACAAATGCGAAAGCTGAACTTCACCTAGAGTTTAACCTATAAACAATGCAGACGGTAGATAGATTTTCAAGAAAGCATAGAAAGTACTGAGTAGTGAGTAGAAAGCATCTTCTTGGATAATAATATACTTGTAAGAATAACCTAATATATCAAATTCAGCTTCAGCCTTTTCATCTTTTTAAATTATTTTTTGAGGCTCAACTCAAAACTTTCATTTCTGTGTTAAAAACATTCTTTTCTTAATCTCTGATAGCCTCCCGCCCTGTTTCTATTTTTACCTCTAATATTCAAAACATGTAGCCACCCCCCCCCCTCTCCCTCTTAATCTACTATGTATGCATAAACCCAATCATATCCAATGACTGGCAGTACGGAACGGCTTGGTAAGAATCAGATTAAGCTGTTTTTGTACTCTGAGTTTAACTCTCTAAACCTAACATACAAACTGTCCGCGGCGTAGAGTTTTTATTTAAAATCGTAGAAAGTGATTTTAACCGGCTTATTGCTGCTGCATTTCACTTCGCGCCGTGCCTAGCTAAACAATCGCGTTTTATTTATCGCGCAAAACTAAACAATCGTGTATTTTTAAAATTTAGAAGGAAAAAATTCAGATTTGACACATTTAAAGGGGATTTGCACATTTTCAATTTTCCTTGAATACACATTCAGTTTATTAAAAGTTTGCATATAATTTTGCATATTTGAATTTGCCGGTTCGAGGGTTTTTCAAAAATTTATATTTTACCATAGTTCGTGCACTTTTTGTTTTTGCAAATTTTTTGCTTTGCTAAATTACTTAATTTTTCAATAAATATTTTAAATATTTGCAACACATATTGCTGATTATTAAACTAGAGCCCAAGGGCTTCTATAAAACTGTATCATATGTTATAGATTTGTATCACAATAAGGAAATTGAGGAGCGGGGGAAGGGGGGTGGAGATCCAGACCCCCCTCCCCCCCCCGTCTATTTTAGGTAAATGAGACGTCAGCCTGAAAAGTCTTTACATAGTACATAGTCTTTTCTAAAGATGAATAAAATATATTGAATATGAATGATATTAGGATTTATCACAGATGTAATGAATATTTTAAAGATGTTCTGAATCTAATATAATCTGTAATGTTAAAGGGATTGTAAGCAAGATTTCAAGTTACCATGGGGAATATCCTTTAATCTTTAGAGTTATTGTCGACGCAGTGAACTTACTTAAATGGTGTTTAATTACCAAATTTTGTTAAAACTAGAAATTCAAGGCGCTTCGCGCCCTTCTTTCTAGCCTTTCTCCTAAATTAATTGTGAACATGTTCTCTTTGTGTACATCGTAAAACAAAACAAAAATAATTTGCGGATTTTCACAAAAAATTTCGCATCAAAATTTTTAAAAATTTAATGACGATCGAATTTTGATGGAGACAAATATTTGAAATTTTGATGATTCATAAACCTTCCCTGGAGTCCCTAGATGTCCCACAAAAAATTTGGGCCCGATCGGTTCAGCCGTTTTGACGTTTATTGGATACAAACAAACAAACAAACAAACAGACAAACAGACAGACAGACAAGCCAAATTTATATATAGATTAAATCTGAACATTTTATGAACTATTGTGTACTTTATCATTCTTACTCAGTTCATCGTGAATTTCATAATGAACATGCTATAAAGTAATCATCGTGCTATAATACTAAATTAGCTGTACATTATAGCACGTACGTGTGTGCTATAAAGTTTTGATTGGTTCCTGGATTTTCTCCAAAGAATTTAGGATATTTCCAAAATAATTTTTTTCCATTGAAATGAAAATAAAATTGAAATCAACTTTATATTTTGACTTCTGCTTTGTTTTAAAACTTATTTGATCTTATAGAAACAGCCATTGAAATAAGACAAATATACAACGTTTCATAAAATTACCTTTAACACTATTATTTTGGGTCGTGGTATAAATTTTCTCTATATCTCGAAGATTCTCGCCTTTTTAGATCACATTTGTCCCTCGCTAAAGCTCGGGACAAAATTAAATCTTGATATAGAGACAGAACATTTCTGTCCAAAAACTTTATAACACTGCGAACCAAAATAACAGTGTTATTAATAGTTATTCTTTATGAAGAAACCGTAAAAAACAACATTTACAAAAAGCGTCTTAAAATTTTGACATCAGTACATTTATATTATAATATAATTAAAGTTAAATTAATAATTTACTATTTGAAGAACCTTTAAACAAAATCCTAACATTGAATCATGAATCTTGAATTGAAATGATATTCTTTTTATTCAATTGCGCAACAAATGTTTTCTTTAAGCTGCTGTAATACAGGCACAGCCACTGAGCTAATCCCTCCTTAAATCTTTGAATAATCCTAATCCTGTAACCTTGCAGATTTAATCCCTCTCTCTCTTGGTTCATGCTGGAGAAGAGAGTAGGGCTGGGCATCTATTCAGTTCTCTTTAGCGAGGTCTGGTGATAAACAGGAAACAATGGAATAGGAAGTTGACATTATAGAAACACTTATTTAAGTGAATTTGATGCTGTTATAAAGCATGAATAGTTTTACTAGACACTTATTTAACTCTAATTAAATTGGTCTGTTTACAAATCACAATAGCTGTGTCTCATACTCATTTTTTTAAAATTATAACTTGATGCTAAAAGTCGTCTTCCCATTTCAGAGTTTTCAAGTTATCACTGTATATCTTTCAAGATTGAAGAGGCTCTGAAAAAATCTGGAAATATTCAAACATTTAAAAAATGACAGCTTTTTAAAATTCTACATACTTTGACAGAAAACATACGGGAAAATGATAATAAACAAAGGAAGAACTTTGAACCAGTTCCAATGGGACCAATACAACTGTCGATTCGGAGAATGAAATTAAAATCAGTCTGTGTATTAAATGTTTTACTATTACCTTGAAAATCAAATTATTGAGTGAAATTGGTCTGTGTAACTGTACACCGCAAATTTTCCATGTGTTCATGATAATTTGACGATTTTAAATAAAAACTATAGAATCTAACAGTCGTCTTCCTATTCCTCAATTTTATGGGTCTAACTGTAATGGATACAAAATTTTAATTTCGTTTGGAAAACACTCTCTATAACTTCTTCATAAGGCCAGAAAATAAAAATAAAACTGATCCAAAACCATCCCCAGTCTTAGCAGAGAGTCTTGGATCTAGCTCAGGGTCTAATAAATAATACAAGATAAACCTGAATCAGATTTTATTCCCTGATTTCTAGGATCAGATAAACTAACATATACAAGCCAAACCATTCATACACTAACATCAGTGTTTATCATAAGCTGAAAGATTTTTATTCATCAAAAAGACTCCATGAGCTGTACTATGCGATATATACATAATTTTAAAAAATGTATTTGAACAAAAAATCCACCCACCCACTTTTCACTTTATTGAATGTATTGACTATTCAACATAATGAATGTATTGTACCCCCCTCCCTATTCACCATAATGAATGTATTGTACCCACCCCATTTATTTCACTTTACTGAATGCATTGTGCCCACCATCCTATTCACCATAATGAATATATTCTACCTCCCTCCCTATTCACCATAATGAATGTACCTCCCTCCCACCCTTCTATTTACCAGCTCCAGATGTATTCATGACAGATAAATGGTTTCATGTCAGAATTGAGGAGTGGGTGGTTTTAGATCCTGTAGATACTCACAGACAGACAGATAAAGAGACAGAGACAGACATATACATATACAGACAGACAGATACTCACGGACAGACAGATACAGGTACAGACATATATATACAGACAGAGGGGAGGGGATAGATAGATAAATGTAAAGATGAAGGGATAGATAGATAGATCACTGTAAATATGAGGGGATTATAGATAGTTAGATAAATGTAAAGATGAAGGGATAGATAGATAGATAAATGTAAATATGAGGGGATAGATAGATAGATAGATAAATGGGGGGATAGATAGATAGATAGATAAATGTAAAGATGAAGGGATAGATAGATAGATAAATGTAAAGATGGGGGGATAGATAGACAGATAAATGTAAATATGAGGGGATAGATATATAGATAAATGTAAAGATGAAGGGATAGATAGAGAGATGGTAGTAAAGATGAAGAGATAGATAGATAGATAGATAGATAGATAGATAGATTAATTTAAAGATAATTATCAATGTACGTTGCACAAACACTAAAATCAAATAAACTTCAGAGTTTAATTACTTGTCAATAAACACAGGTCTAGAAATGATGCAAGTTCACAGTAGACAATTGCGATGAAAAAGAATTAAAAAATGAACCCTTTTATACTTCATGGTCTGAGCCAGGGCCGTAACAGGGGGGGGGGGGGCAACGGGACAAGTGCCCTCAAACTTAAGGTGAAATAAGTGCGATCTTTACTATATAAGAGGCGTTTGCCTCCCACTTTTAACAGTGCCCCCCCCCCCAAACAGTTTAGGGTTTGGTCAGGGTTTCCTAGGACATGCTGATGTGTTATACAAGGCAGCAGGATATTCAGAAGCTGTCCTTAGATGCTTTAGAAACTGGTCTAAAGTGTATCCAAACTGAATATCGTATGTTTTTTATTAAAAATATTAAGTAGATGTAACACCGCCGAGCGATTTTAAGAACTCATATCACCCCTGAATTACAACAATAAAACTTTACCAAAATATATTACATACCCGGCCAATCTAATCTATTTTAAGATATAAGTTTATTTCCGGTTTATTGCTTTTACTAAATCTTTCAAAATCCAAAATGAACCGTGAACTGCCGCCATAGTATTTTTAGCTAGCTATTGTTACTTTAGAGCTCGTAGATTGAGAGAATTCATATTTTCTGCCTTGTGTCTTTAAAGCAACGAGATTATAGTGTATAGAGTGATGATGTACGCTAATCCTCTACTAATTGTATAGGGTATAAACTATACCGAGAGCGTACTGCATATGTGTTTATTATAAGTTTATTCTGGCATAACCTATAGTATATCAATTTTAGTAAACAAATGTAAGTGTACAATACTGAGCACACAGGTAGGAAACTATCATCCCCCCTGATTTAAAGTCTCAAAAATGGAGCAAAAAAATCTTTAAATCAGAAAATATCTGTCCCTGGGTCGGAATTTATCGACTTCCTTCCTCCAGTTTTTTTGCCACTGTAATCTCCTGTTCATTTTAAGTACTGGGCCGAATTTGTAGCAGCAAGACCAAGCTGTACAGTACACATACAGACAACAAAAGGCAAAAGTGGACTGTACAGTACACCAAATGAATCTGCCCTTTTTAGGAAGATTCTAGTAGGGGTTAGATGTAAATTATGGTTTGAGTATTCAGGCTGAATGTAAAATAAAGAAAAAGTAAACAAGAAATATATATTTAAACCTCGTCATATACAAGGTTTTAATGCAAGGAAAGTTAATTGCAGTTGCGTATACCCGGCGCACATATTGAAACCAGTTCTCTCTGGGCGGAATTTGTAAACAAAAGCATAAGCATCTGTGTTCGTTTAGTATCCGAGGAGGTTAAAAGCATTAAATTTTGATAACTTTGTTAATTCACATAATAGTTTTCTATGACCAGAATGTTTCATTGATTTTTTTGTGTGAAAGATGGATCCCATGTCAGGCTTCGACATCCGTCTTGTGTTTACATTACCTCCCAGAGATAGTACACTGCAGTACAAGAAATGCGTACACCTTTGAAATAACTTTCCTTGCATTATAACCTTGGTCATATATAAATGTTTGCCCATGAGTTGTAGATCTTGTGTGAATGAACTCCGGGTATATATTTGTCTTCAAGGATCTGATTTCACGAATATTTTAGTAATTCCACACAAACCTGTATTCAGAATTTAAATATATCTATATCTCCTTAAGATAAGTCTAGAACATGTTCTATTGTTTATTAAGATTGGTTATTGCTGGACACTGTGTTTCATGTTGGACATTCTTCAGCAGCATGATTGCGGATTATATATATATAAAGTTGTAATCTCTGTTTGTCTGTCTGTTTGCTTGTCCTATCATAACTCATGTTGACCAGTTTGCCTTAAATTTAGATGAGGGAACTCTTGAGATCGATGGGAATGTTCTTAGCTTGGTTTTTAGATTCTTAGTTGAGTGGATCGACATTTATCGGGAAAAATAGTTAAAATCGTAATTTACGACAAAGCGCGGGTAATCAGTGGGACTAACTATGACCCCCCTGTGAAACGCTGGGTTCCCAAGCAAGTATATGTATAAAGTAGTAATCTCTGTTTGTTTGTTTGTATGTCGGATCATAATTCATGTACCCTTTGACCGATTTTCCTCAAATTTTGATTATGGAACTCGGGAGAATCACGGGAATGTTCTTAGCTTGGTTTCAAAGATTTAAGTTGAGTAGGTTGGCTTTTATAGATAAAGTTTGGTTTCCAGGCTAAGCTGGGTTCCCAAGCTTGTATATACATATATAATCACAGATACTCAGAAAGATGTATTTTATCAGAAAAAAGAAACGTCAACGTAATTTTATCGATGAATGGAGATATCTTTGTTTTTATAATTTAAAATTGAGGGCCGGAAAACCAGAGCTAGTACTTCAGCATGTAGTTGTACACTCTTGAACTTTCAAGGACTCAAGTTTTAGCAAGAAAAAAGGGATATCTCTGTCATTCTATATCTGACAAAAAGGTTTACTGTAGGGTACAGTTCAGAGTTGGAAATGCCACTTTACAAATCAGGCGTCACTTGAAATTACGTCTTTTCTCTATGGATAATGGAACCCTAAAGTTTGAGCCAAAATGACCATTTCATTCTAGGATTTGAATCTAAAATGTGATAATTTTCAAATCTGATTTATAGAGACAGGTAAGGAAATTGACATAATCCTTCTCTTTTCTAGATAAAAAAGGACATACACTTCCTCATTACTAGTTAGTAGAGTTTCAAGGTACCGCTTTAGATTAAGGGCAAATATCTTTTTAAATGGAGGGTTACTTAAATATTTCGTGGACAGCCCCTTTAATTTCATTTTTGCCTAGTGCGTAACATTTCTATAAGGTCTGAACAAATTATAAGGTTGTGAGATCAGCCTGATGAGGAGGTATAATTATGCGTATATTTAATCTGACCACCATGATTAGTTGGATTCAGATAATCGACTTAGCTCTGCACTCTGCATTCATTTCTTTTTGTAGATTTATTTTTAGCGTTGTACTCTGTATTAAATTCTTTCTTTATATTACTCTGTAGATTCATTTCAAACGCTGTACTCTGTATTCTATTCTTCGTTTATATTATCTGCAGATTTATTTATTCATTTAAAACTCTGTACTCTGTATTCCATTCTTCGTTTATATTACTCTGCAGATTAATTTCAAGCTCTGCACTCTGTATTCTATTCTTCCTTTATATTACTCTGCAGATTAATTTCAAGCTCTGCACTTTGTATTCTATTCTTCCTTTTTATTACACTGCAGATTCATTTCAAGCTAAGCATTCTGTATTCTATTCTTCGTTTATATTACACTGCAGAATTATTTCAAGCTCTGCACTCTGTATTCTATTCTTGCTTCATATTACTCTGCAGATTCATTTCAAGCTCTGCATTCTGTATTCTATTCTTCGTTTATATTACACTGCAGATTCATTTCAAGCTCTGCACTCTGTATTCTATTCTTCCTTTATATTACGCTGCAGATTTATTTCAAGCTCTGCATTCTGTATTCTATTCTTCGTTTATATTACTCTGCAGATTCATTTCAAGCTCTGCATTCTGTATTCTATTCTTCCTTTATATTACACTGCAGATTTATTTCAAGCTCTGCACTCTGTATTCAATTCTTCGTTTATATTACTCTGCAGATTCATTTCAAGCTCTGCATTCTGTATTAAATTCTTTCTTTTAGTTACTCTGCAGATTAATTTCAAGCTCTGAATTCTGTATTCAATTCTTCGTTTATATTACGCTGCAGATTCATTTCAAGCTCTGCTTTCTGTATTCTATTCTTCGTTTATATTACGCTGCAGATTCATTTCAAGCTCTGCATTCTGTATTCTATTCTTCGTTTATATTACTCTGCAGATTTATTTCAAGCTCTACATTCTGTATTATATTCTTCGTTTATATTACACTGCAGATTAATTTCAAGCTCTGCACTCTTTATTCTATTCTTCCTTTATATTACTCTGCAGAATTTTTTAATCTCAAATAGATTTGTTTGATTTCATTTCATTTATATTTGACTCTCAGACTCCTAGTCTTATGTTTACTTACTACCCCTGAATTCTAACTAATATTAAAAAGTATTTNTGTGGAATCTCCATTACGAGATTAAGTGTATTCTAGACATACAGTATTGTGGAATCTCCATTACGAGATTAAGTGTATTCTAGACATACAGTATTGTGGAATCTCCAGTACGAGATTAAGTGTATTCTAGACATACAGTATTGTGGAATCTCCATTACGAGATTAAGTGTATTCTAGACATACAGTATTGTGGAATCTCCAGTACGAGATTAAGTGTATTCTAGACATACAGTATTGTGGAATCTCCATTACGAGATTAAGTGTATCTGGTGGATACAGTATTGTGGAATCTCCAGTAAAAGATTATATGTATCTTAGAGATACAGTATTGCGGAATCTCCAGTTCCAGATTAAGTGTATCTTAGGTATCTTATAGATACAGTATTGCGGAATCTCCAATGCGAGATTAAGTGTATCTTAAAAATACAGTTTTACAGAATCTCCAGTTCCAAATTAAGTGTATCTTAGAG